TTTAGTTGTCCTGTTGTGATTAGATGAATGACTTACATCCATTCAAGCTGTTTACCTTTCATGGTCATTTTGACTTTAAGGATGAGCCAGAAGTCAGGCGGTGCCACATCCAGTGGATAAAGTGGATGAGCCACATTTTTATGGGCCTGGGCCACCTTGCTGCTGGGTGGCGCTGGGCAGCAGCATGTGCTGTATTTTTTCACCTCCTTGTAAAGACACTCATCAAAGAGGACTTCCAGAACTGCTTCAGAAAGTGGCAAGAATGATGAATAAGTGTGTTTGGAGCAAGGGGGGTGTCTTTTAACTGTAATAAATTTTGTAAATATGTAAACATTCACCATATTTTTTTTTTTGAGACAGTCTCACTATGAAGTTCAGGCTGGCCTTGAACTCACTTTGTAGCCCACAGTGGCCTCAAATGCACAGAGATCCTCCTGCCTCAGCCTCCCAAATGCAGGGATTACAGATGTATACCACCACGCCTGGCCACTGTATGGGGGGGGGGCGGGTACTGGATATCAAACTCATGACCTTGCACTTGCCAGGCAGGCATTTATGCCACTGAACTAAATCTCCAGCCCCAAGGGCATCTTTTAATCACATCCGGTATGAAGGTTCAAGAGAATCTTGTCTCCTCTCCCGCACACGTCTTAGGTTCACTGTCAGGACAGTAGAAGTGCTCCCTGCAGAGAATGACTCCTTGGGTACCTTAAGGTGCTAGATCTTGCAGACACCCATCAACACAAAGACATCAACATATCCAACAGACAACAGAATGTGATCACCAAAAGCACGCAGGGAAGTGTCCACAGCAGAACTATTCAGAATAGCTCCAACCTGGAAACAAGCCTAATGTCTATCAGTAGCCAAATGCATAAATCAAAAGTGTATTTTATACGAAGCAAAATGATCTGATGAGGAGAAACAACAATCTATAACTACATACAGGATGTGGATGAAATTCACAACCGTAATGTTCAGCAAAAATTTGGGAACAAAACACATAGGACACCCCCACTTACAGGATGAGCAAGCCTGTGCTGTGAGAGATTAGGATAGCGAGTACCCCTGAGGGGAGGCACGTGCAGCAGGGCAGGAAGGGGGCTGTGTGGGTGCTGGTGGGGCACTGCTTCTTGACTCAGTGTTGAGTGTATGGAAGCATCAGAGGAAGCACACACGCTCTTCTGTGGTTATGAAATACCTTGATCAAGGAAGGTATTGATGTTTGTAAGATGAGGGGAGTCTTTTCACCCCTCCCTTCCGCTCCTCCTCACCCCACCTCCAAGCCAAATCCTCCCATTGCTCCCTCAAATCAGCAGCGCCTCCCTTGGCCCTCACCACCGCCACATATCCTGCAGAGGACTTCTTCACCTGCCTCTTTCCCACCTGCCCACAGAGTGCAGAGGGAGAGGGGGCTCGTGGGATCACCTCCTCCCCTTGCAGCCCAACCCTCTGCCACCATCTTCCAGGACATCTCTCACCTTTCCTATACAGCGCTGTTCCCATGCTCTTACCTGTGCAATCTTTGGTTTGGAGTCTGTCCCCTCTTACCACTGGACCGATAACCCCTCTCAGGCAAGAGCAGGGCTTTCTGTCTCCAGCTCCTAGCTAATGCCTGGCTTAGAGCAGATGTCCCAAAATGCTTGAGCTGATATTGAGTGAATGAACGGCCAGGACTGCCAGTCATGCAGGTGTCTTGGGGAAGGCAAAAGTCACATCTGGGGGCAAAACTCCTACTTATCTGGAGCTAGGACATCTGGGCCATGGTCCTGGTTCTGCCACTCACCTTGGGTGAGTTGCTCCCTTTCTCTGGACCTCAGTGAGCTCCTTTGTGAAATGCAAAGGTAGATAAGAGATGCAGAGCCAGGGGTGGGCTTGAAGAGGCAGAAGACTCTGTGTGTGTGTGTGTGTGTGTCTGTGTCTGTGTCTGTGTGTCTATGTGTCTGTGTGTATCTCCCTAGCAAGAACATTCATAGAGATCTATGACCTCAAAAGGCTCAGAACCACTAACCAAGATCATTTTTCAACCCTGGGAGTTGAAGATTCTGTAACCAGAGAGAGAAAAGAAAGTAATTCAACCCAAAGAAGCAAGGGTGGGATTAGACCCTAGAACTTTTATCACAGTTACAGGACCCCACAACAAAAATGCAAGGGAGACTGCAGGCCCTAGGTCCCCTGGAGCCTCCCAAAATCAAGGTGCCTCTGGGCTGGGAGATACAGAGAACAGACGAGGTGGCCCTAGGGCTGGTTGTGGGAGGGAGGAGACAGACTCAGCCTGGAGCCTCTTCCCCTTTGCTCCTGCCACCTTCAGACAAGCACCCACTTGTCCAGGGATATGGCACAGAGTAAGGAGGCGAGGTTGGCACCTGGAGATGCCCGCCAAGCCCCTTGGCGCCCAGGTCAGGAAAGGTTGGCGGGAATGCTCAGGAGTGGTGCCAAGCCTCACCCTCCTTCCTCCTGAGGCTGGCATGTGGGGCCACAGGAAGGCTCAGATGTAGGGGACTGCAGGAACAGAAGGCTACTACTGAGAGTGGCAGGGCTCATGGTTCTAGACTCTGACACTCTAGAGCAGGGCTCAGGGACCTGAGCGCCAAGGCTGGCAGTGCTCCTCCAGGTGAGGAGAAAGAGCAGAACATGAACTCAGGCCAGAGGAAGAAGTCAGCAGGCAGGGGGCATCTGGGGGCCCAGAGAGCCCCTGTGGCGAGAGGAGAGGCTGCTTGAGAGGGCAAGCCAGGCAGCGTGGTGGACAAAGCGGGCCATAGGGGCCGAGGAGGAGAGAGAGCAGCAAGATGGGGAATGGAGTCAGTGACAGGCACCCAGCCCGTGGCTCAGGCGAGGCCTGCCGAACCCCTGGCAGGAAGGGCAGCGCGTCTGTAGCAGGGCCGCCAGTGGGAGGGCTCTGGCTGCCAGCCCAGATGCCTGGGTAGCTTCTGAGCCCTGGCTCTGAGGGGGTGAGAGCCTGAGAGATGTTTATCCGCCACAAGAACGTGGGTACCACGCCTCCTCCAGCAGGGGCCCAGGTGATAGGCCGCAGCTGCTCTTTCCTGGGACACTCGGTCTCCCGAGAGCTGCACTGGGAATGGGGCCTGAGCAGGGGGGAGCGTCCACCGCCCACAATGCCTGCTGGAGCCAGAGCCAGGGCCCACAGTGGGGCTGGGATTTTATCCATGCAGATAAAGGACGAAGTGAGTCACCGCAAGTTCTCTCAAGAGGCCACTGGAAAACCAGCTCATTCGAATGCAGACACACACACACTCGCCCCATCCTGTCTGTGTCCCTGGTGCTGTCACACAGCGGCACACACACACCTCCTGTTTCCTCCTCACTTTGATCATCCATTCCAGCGACCTGGGTTCCTTCCCATCTCTGACTACCCTGTCCCTGTGTACCCTCATTTGGTTCAACAGGCACCCACCTACTCCACAGGAATTGGGGGAATGCAGTGGGAGGGCTTGCTGTAAGGAGACTGGGGCCAACAGGGTCCTGAGCCCACAGGATGAAACTAGCATAGAGAGCTTGGGGACAAGCCTGAGAAGCAGTGAAGAACAGGGAACCAGATGGTCTCAGCCCCAAGGAACTGTACTAAGTCAAAGGGCAGGAGCTGACAACTGAAATCTGGGTGCCCAGGGGTCTGAGGTGCCTAGGGTTCTCTGTACCAACCCCAAAATACCAGGAATACAGCTCAAATTCCCAGAGAAAGAAGTCAGATTGGAAGGACTTCCTGACCAAGAAAGACCTGAACTAATAAATATGGGAGAAAGACTATGACCTCCTCACCCCTTGGCACCTGCAAGGACAGAAGAGGGGCAGTGAGGTTTTATGGCAGAGGGCAGGACCCTGACAACTCTGGAGAGGCCCTGCAGTCTGACATGGGGTTTGTCACCCACATGCCCCACTGGGGTTGAGAGGCAGCAGTCCAGGGTGCCCAGTCCATACCCCAGGCCTCCGTCAGAATCGCACTGGCACGGGAGCCATTGGGAAGGCCCAGGCAACAGCCACATCCCCAGGCCTGCCCCTGACCACGGTGGCCACCTGTGTGAGGGCAGGGGCTGTCGCTCTTAAAAGATGCAGCACTCGGTTTACAAGTGCCCGGCACTGTGCCTGGCACTGTGGTGTAAACCGCAAATATGCTATAATCTGTGCCCTGGAGGAACACTCAGAGAGGTGGAGCAGAGAGCAGCCTCCCGGGCACACATGACACACACGTGCACACTCGCGCCAAGCATCCTAGACACGCTGGCTTCACGTTGCCCCGATCCAGAGGTTGAGATCCAGAGGCTGAGATTGGGCCCTAGGGTGCATGTGGGGTCACCCAGGCCCTGCGTGCCTCCAGGGAGGGTGTAAGACCCAAGCTTCACTCAGCAGACTAATCTGAAGGGGGTGCTCCCTTCCGAAAGCTGGGGTTCTGTAGGAGGCCTAGAGCACAGCTAGCCAGTCCCTGGAACCCCAAATTCCTCCTGCTGTTGAGGGAGAAAGCCAGGTCTGGCAGGGGTTCTGTGGGTGGTTTATCTAGAACCGGTATCTGTCTCCCTGGTCAGCTCCCCCTCGGGGCTCCAAGGTTAACCCAGAACCGATGAGGGGGGCCACCTGTCACCTTACTTCTCAGCTCTTGCCGCGGTGGTGCTGAGACCCTGCTGGCTCAGAGCCCTGTGCAGGTGGGCGGCCACCTCTGTCCATAGCCCCGCTCAGGGGACATTAACCCTTTTCCTCCCCTGCCCAGCACTTCCACTGGCTCCTTGTCCGGCAGCGGCAGCGGCTCCCAACCCTCCCCAGAGTTGTTTGCCTTTCTGAGTCAAGCCCCACATCTCCTCCTCCCAAGGGCGCAAGAGCCCCAGGTGAGACCAACACGGACTGGCTGCCCCTCTACCTGCTCTATCCCGCCCCGCTGCCGGGACCGGCACTTTCCTTGGTTTGGTACCTGTCTCAGGTGGCCCGGGCTCTGCGGGCCACCCTTTCAGACCCGGGCGTCCTTCCCGCCCGCTCCCTCTCCGGAGTCCTACCTGGAGGAGCAGCCACCGCCTCTCGGCGGGGGCTGAACCCCGGGGCTCCCTGCAAGCTGCCCGCGCGGGGGCCGGGGGGTTCCCCGGGGGGCCACAGGGGAGCCCGGGCTCCAGCGCTTCGCAGCACACCAAGCTCACGGTGCAGCCCATCCGGCCGGGCGCCCGGCGGGCTCGGGGCGGGGACACGGCGCCCCAGGAGCTGGCCCGCCCCCAGCCTTGGCGAAGAGGCTTGACCCTGGGCGGCTGCGACGCCGCCGGGAGGGGAGCGGCGACGCCCCCAGCTCGGCCCCGCAGAGCCCGCGCCCTCGCAGCCGCACCGCCAGGAAGCGGGGAGCGCGGCCAGGCGAGGGGCGGTGACATGGGCGCCCAGGCGCAGCCAGTGATGGGGGCGGGTGCCGGGGGACCCGAGGGCGCTGGGGGGCGCGGGCAGAGGGCAGGCTGACTTCGGAGACTGAGAAAGAGACCCATGGGGCAGAGAATGCAGGTAAGGGAAGAGAGTGGGGGCACACAGACCCGGGGAGACTGGGACTGAGGTACACAAGGGGAGGCAAGAGGACGCCCCCGCCCCCGGAGGCTGCTGGGATTTGTAAAACCCACTCTTACAGATCTCTGGCCTCACTACACCCGGACAGCCCCGGGGAAAGAAGCGAAAGACCCGCAACTCCAGCAGAGCACGGGCAGGCGCAGGACCACAGCCCACCAGGCGACCCACCTGATCCCCGGCTGGGCACAGCGTGTCCCCAAGTTTCACTTCCCTTCCTTGAGGAGGGGTAGGTACACTGACTGGGAAGAGGGCACTGGTGACAGCCCTCATGGGACCCCTGAGCAGGGCACAGTGGAGAAGAGGAGGTGAGGACTGGTGGGACCCTGGCCCTTGGGCCGCCAAGTGACAGCGAAAAGACAGTTTGAGAGGAAGGGACTGGCCGGCACCTCAGCCTTTTTATGCCATCTGGTGGTAACAAGAAAGAAACACAAGTGACAGGAAAAGAGTAGCAGCAACTGCTGTCACCAACTCTGGCCAACAGGTGGCCCTACCCCAGGTTAGCCTCACCCACTCTGCCCCAGTGCCCTTGATCCTGCCTCTGCCACGCCTCCCTGCCAGGGCTGGCTCCTCCCCCTCCGGAGTGCTGGGCTGGGCCTGAGTGACTTCCTAGGCCACAGTGCTATGCAGGGCCACAGTGGCTAGGGCCAGGCTCAGGCTGCAGAGACCGATTTTCCAGCCCCAAGGCCAAGGCCAGGCCTTCCCAGGTGAGTGGCAGCTAGGGTCCTGGGGCTTGGAGCTGGCTGGGAAGGGAGAGAGAAGGACTTCATAGCAGAAGCGGCTGGAAGGGGCTGCAAAGACCCTCTGCCCATCCCATGGTTCACAGTAGGGAAAGCCAGAGAAAGGCGAGTGATTGTCCTGGGATGCAGGGTGAGTGAGGAGCTGGCCGGCCGGCATGGAGACCCAGGTCTCTTGACCGCCAGCCCTGGGCTCCCTGCCTGCCACCTCCCCAGCGCCCCTGCACCTCCTACTTTACTCCCCTCTGCTTTTCCCTCGCCCACTGGGGCTTTGCCTGAGAGGCAGAACACCTGGGTTTTCTACCCCGTGCCTGGTCTTGACCCTGTCCCTCTCTGACCCACAGGACCCCCTGGGAGAACAGGCCCAGTCCCCTGGGGGAGGGCAGAAGGATTCAAACTAGATGCCCTTCTCCCCACAGCCTGGCACCCAGCCCGACTCTGGGGCCTCCCTCCGCCACCCCCTTCTCCTCGAGGAGTGCACTTTTTCCACTCAGCTGGGGCCCCGGAAAGGACGAATGTGGGTCTGAAGGACGATGACGCCCTGCCGCGGCTGAGGACTGTCCACTGAGGAAAGCAAGTGACAGTCCAGTAGCCCAACATCCTGGGGCACAAACACTGCTTAAGTACTGGTCCAAGAACATAGAGTCACCCTGCCTGTGCCCCAGGTCACCTTGCATAAAAGAGAGCTCATCACCTTCTAGGACAATTGTGGGAACTGAACGAGACAAGACACCAAGCAGTGACCACAGGTCCCAGCAGCCAGGGACAGCCCAGTGAGATGCTATGCCTTTGTCTCCGCCACTGGCCTCCCAGACTGAAGCGAGACTGCCATAGTGCTGTCTCACTGGGCTGTGCGACTCTAGGTCAGGCACTTCCCTCTCCAGGTTCTGACTGTTCCCGTGTCTACGGAGAGCTGGGTGCTTAAACCCAGCAAGTCCTTGCTGGGCTGCCTTGGAAGTCACGGGGACTTGGGTCATTTCCGATACCCATGGCAAAAGACAGGGCCTCCCTCAAGGTCACCAGGGACCTGAAAGGTGAGTGTGACCCGAGAGTCAGGAGAAGCAAGGGGTCTTGGAAGCGTCTCCTTCGGAGGCCTCACTCCCTGGTGTCTGCTGTCTGCCACGCTCCCTGCAGCTGCAGTCTCCGCCATCCTCCAGGGCTATGGGGACGGAAAGGGGGCAGTGACGGATGCCAGTGCCGAGCTGCACAGACTCTGCGGCTG